GGGGGGGGAATGTACATTTATATCCCCGAATGTTTTCTAGATAGAGGCGGAATAGAAACCTCAGCTGGCTTTGTGTTTGTCTCATAATTGAAATCTAAATATTCATCATAGCTTAGTTGTTGTCTCCAAACTTCATCAGTGTATTAGAGAAAAAAACTCTTTAGGGCTGTCTGTTATGTGACAGTGTTTTCCAGGGATCTGCACTAAAACACAACTATTTGAGACAAGACCAGCTATTGGATAGTACTATTGGATAATACAAAGCCTTATTTCTCTGAAACAAGGCCAGCTATTGGGACAATACAGAAGCTTGTATTTCACAGGAACTGCGTCAGTAACTCGCCTAAACAGAAATCCACTCGCTCCTGGTACAAGCCCTGCTATTGGACACTGCACATGCCCAGACTTCTTTGCTACAGAATCTGTTACTGGACAATAAAGAAAGCCACACTCATCCCTGGTACAAGACCTGCTATTGGACACTACACATGCCCAGACTTCTTTGCTACAGACTCTGTTACTGGACAATAAAGAAAGCCACACTTGTCCCTGATACAGGGCCAGCTATCGGGTAATACACATGTCTAAACTTACAGTACAGAACCTCATATTGGACAAGGTATGAATAACTGCAAAATGAACCCCCCATCAAGGAATAAAGTAAATTGACTCATTGTTTTGATAAAACCAAAAATTAGTTTTAGGATGCAGATGACTTCTGGAATATAAGATAAACTATATTTGTTTGACAGCAATTATGAAATAACTTTTATCAACTAATATTAATCACTCTTGTTTGCCTGGACAGTAGCTGGTGGTCTTTGTGTGATTAGAAACCAGAGTGCCCAGAGAAACCCCAAGTTTCTGAATATATACTAGAATGGAAGGACAACACAGGAATGTCAGTTACCATGTTGCTGAATGACCTTCACAGCAAAATTGTGTTAGACCCTGTACAAAGCTTTCCAGTGATCTTGATTTGAAATTTTAACAACCTCCGTGCTATGTCTGTCTTGGTGTACGTCTGTAATAGGAGTACCGACCAGACCCACAAACCTCCCGGGGGCTTCCCTTCACTAAGTTTTCATATTTATTTCCGAGATTTCTTTACACATCCAATTAAGACATTTCATCTCTACGTTATCGCTGGAGGACGTAAAATAGGAATATTTTAACTCTTGTCTTTATATATATCCATTTATCCTGAAGGAATGAAACAGAAGTATTTCAGTTCTCTCTTTAATTGCTCTACTGAGATTGTTTTTCTCAGAGGCACACATTTCCTAATAGATTTGTAAGAGATGAAGATGCTGAGGGAAGGAATGAGGCTGTCAGGGACATCTGCTTCTGCTGCTGACACTGATGAGGATCTGACTCGAGCGGAAACCTGTAAAAACCTGCAACATGCCAACACTTGAAACACTCTTAGATATTTGAAAAGTTTTTAAAACATTGTGCCAATGCTACCCCTTGAAATAATATTTTACATGCAAACTAAACCTACATTGGAGGGTATTATTTCTGGAGTTTTAGATGTCGAGGTAGTCAATGCAGTCAATAACTGTCATTAGCCTCATCATTCAAGATTCAAGATTCAAGAAGCTTTATTTAACGTCGCATATACATGTAACATAATAACATTAGCACTGTAGTGCTATTCTTGCGACAAGATAAATTAAAGATTTTATTTAAATAAAAAAAGAATACGTCATTGTGCCAGATGTGTGGGAACATCTACCTATACTTTGTTTTGTCTGGGCTACCTTATACTATAATGTCTGACAAGGTCACCTCTACATGTATGGTGACTTTAGTTATGTCAGTTTATGGTGATGACCTGTGTTTTATAATTCAATTTCAATATGCCATGTGACCTATGTTAGGTAATAACTCATCAGGACTGGAACAAGTCTTGGTGGAGAATTGTGTCATGTTATAGGCTTTCAACAAAGATCTTGGTGGAGAATTGTGTCACAGACCTTGGTATGTGTACGCATTTGGCGTATTTAGTACGCAATTAAAGGTCCAAAATACACAATACGCATTGACTTGATTTTTTACACATTTCTGATGAAAATAAGTCTTAAAGTAGCTCACCGATGTTTTAGTCTTTATTTTTGACGTTCTCGGTTAAGCCAGCATATTACAACACAGTGAGAAAATATAAATTATAAATTATTTCAACACTGTGAGAAAATGCCACTTACGTGGCCAGTCACTCCAATGGAAGAAGAAGATTAGTGATCTCCCTCAAACTAGCGCTTTTGTTCTCCCTCAAATGAGCGCTTTAATGATACAGGTTTTGCTATGAAGTGTCATGTGATCTCAGTGCTTGAATGAGATGATAGTTTCGTATTCAATGTCAAAGCATCAACGCGATGCTGATCTTGTGAAAAGAGTCAAGGCTGCCATGTCAAAACGTAACCAGACTAATGACAGTCATGCTGACCCTGTTCACTTCTAAAACAATTGTACGACTACAGGAATTCAAAGACATATAGTGAGGAATGGCCCTTTCTTGAGAAATCACAAAAGGGGTCACATTTCGTATTTTGTTCACTATGTGCTAGGCACTTCTCATGTGGCCATGCACGTAGATACGATTGTCAACGACATATTCGCTCAAAACAACATGGATCTGGCAAAAATGAAAGTGTCAAATTAAACAAACCAATAACCAATTTCTGTGCTCCATCAATATACCTATCTGACGATGTAAGTGTGATAAAAGTGGAAGTAACTATGGCGGATAACAGATTTAAACCTTAGTTTGAGCACTGTAGACACGCTCTGTAGTGCCTTCAAAATCATGTTCCCAGGCTCCACGACTGCGAGGTAAGTCACTATGACATGTTCTAAGTATTGACTGTTCTTGAAACATTTAAACATTAAAACTACTGTCTAAGCAAAATTCAATAATAGGAAAAATACCCTGCAAAAAACGAATAATCTGTCCTTACACATGTATATTATGTTGGATAATTGACACATAATAACAGTAAACAACATATTTACTGAATGTAGCATGATTAATTACTTTGTGTTAAAGTTGTTCTATTGATATTGCAAAATACACATTGGGGCAATGAAAATTTCACATAATATGCTTAGGAATATATACCCAGGTCTCGTGTCATGTCATAGGCTTTCAGCAAAGGTCTTGGTGGTGAACTACATTTTGTCATAGGCTTTCTGTGACTACACCTTGAATTGAAAACCCACTTTTAACTTGTCACGAGGAATTCAAACTTAGATCTAGTGTGAAAGTTAAGCCTACAAGTCTAATTACATCAGATTGAGTCAGATATAGGCATTTTTTTCAGATTTTTAAGTCTGATCGAAATAGTCCATAGGTCTAAATATAGCCAACAACCAACCTCAGACCCAGCATGAAATAGACCATAGGTCCAATTACCTTTACATTTCCAATCTGAAATTTGAAACTGATCAAAATAAATGAGATTAATGTTTTAATGTTGCTTTGGCATGTATTGAAACTATTGAGATCTAGATTAATGTGACAGTGGATTAAGGGCTAGCCAGGCAGTCCGGGGCCCTGGCGACTGGAGATCAATACGCTGGTCTGGTG